AAGAGGGGCCAGAAGTGAGACTGTGTTCATGGTCTAAATGAGGGGCCAAGTTCTGTACTGTGTACTCGCCCTACCTCCAAGTGCATCTTGGGTTTAAAGAGAGCATGAGCCTGGACTCGTGCTGACCTATGCTCTCCATGGGAAGCGGGGTAGCATGACACCTTCCAGCACTACCTGAAACCCTGCCTGAATAACATCCACATTTGAGAAACGGAATGACACGGTCATCAAAGAGGCTCAGGACCTGGTGGGAATGTCACTGGTGCCAAACGTGACCCCTTCAGCAATCGAATTGAGAGAAGGTCTGACAAAAATGAACGCCATCGGCACTGGCCGATGGACTATGTAAGGCATCAGATGTGGAGGAGGATAGATACCAGCTCTGTTCTTCACAGGCTGACAGGGTTGTGGAGGGAGGGAGACCTGTAGCCCCAAACAGTATGGAAATAGCCTCATCCAGGCTGGGCAGACAGCACAGTGAACACAAGACATGCCCAAGCATATCTAAAGGTCCAGAGAAGGTGTGTGAGGCAGCAATAGCCATTTAATCTATAGATACTAACTACCAGGTATGCGGGCCAGGAATGGTTAATGTTAGCTGCCTGTGGTCCCTAAATTCTGGGATTCATCTTTTCTCTTACTGGCCAGCAAAGGGATAGGCTATGAAATTATTGGCCTGTGCAAGCAACCTAGCCCATGGAAACCCTTGGAGGAAATCCTTACTCTCTTAGATACTGGAAGCTGAATGCTCAGGCGTTCCTGCCAGTGCATGGCTGGGCTTGTGCACAGCCTCCTCGCTCACTGCAGAAGCAAGAGGGAAGACGAGGGACTGAAGGCCGAAGTTCTGCCCAGGTGTGCAGTATACTGGACAGGATCATGATGTGCCAGAGGTCTAGAGGACACGCCAGGTAGGGAGGGTGCTGTATTCCATGGTGATTCTGCACCCCTGGCCTGCAAGGGGCTCTTATGCATGACCTGTGATGACAAAAGGGATGGGACCCCGTTTCCTCAGCTGTAAACTGTTCTCCAAGAGAGGCAGCATTTGTTGTTTTTAGGCTAGGTCTCTCGCCTAGGCCACGCTTACTTTAAACTCCCTATTATAGCGGCAGATGATGCTGAACTCCTGACCCTCTTACCTCTACACCTCCCAAGAGCTCGTGTGCACCCCCCACCCCCGCGTCCAGCCAAGAGTGAAACTCAGAGGAAGAGAATGAACTGGGATGTCTGCAAACACGTAAGAGGAATAGATCAACTGAGACCACTGTCTGTGAGCACAAACATAAAACCAAGGAACACAGCTCCAAGGGAAAACTATGGCCAACACTGCTCCTTACCACTGGGTGGCACTGTGTACCACAGACAGCTTGGTTGCTAGCCCACAAGTTTAGGGATGCAACATGAGGCTTGGGTATGAAAGCCCAAAGTACATATCAAGTGAATATTATTTCCCCTAAAAAGGAAATTCTGACACATTATAGCACTGATTAACCTTAATGAAATTATGCTTAATGAAATAAGATACAAAAGAACAGAGGACTTCAAATAATCAAACTAATAGAAGAAGTTGGGATGGCCAGGGACTAGGAGAGAGACTAGAACGATGCTATTTCTTGGGTGGGTGGGGTCACAGAAGATGAGACATTTCTGAAGACAGATGTTGCTGGACACAATCCCTCCACAGTTACTGCAAGGTGAGAAAGAGCAGGAGATTTTAGATTTGGCTTCCACTGCTTTGGTCTGCAAGTCACCTCTACTTCCCCCAGCATTGGTCAGAATGTACCAAAACGAGTCTGCCCACTTTGAGTGAAAAACTTGGTATGTGGTACTTGATCTGGGGTTCATTTTGTTATGTGCCTCCACTGTACAAACAGTAACTGGGGGCACTTGCTCATGAACTTGCCCCTTCTGGATTCTAATCTCCATAGGCAGAGGTTGCCTACTATAATCTATTTCGTAAGCTCAGCGTCTTGAATGGGCACATGGTAGAGGCCTAGTACTTGAGCTATGAGAAAACAATAGTAGAAGAAAAAAAAAGCAAAAAAGGCAGGTGAAGGTGGAACCTGGGGAGATCAGTTTAGGCATGGCACTATCTGAAAAATGAAGGCGGGAAGACCAAAAATTTAGCCTACCAAATGCATAGCTGCACCCAATTTCATGATACAAACCAACTGGGCGCAGTCCATGTGCAATATACTGGGGACAAGAGGCTTCTAGTAACAATAGAAGAGAAATTGGACGCCAGGGGCAACAACTGTTTGGGAACATATTCTGATCCCATAGCTTCCTGGAATTAGCGTGAGCACAAGGAGAAAGGATCAGCTTCTCTTTGGCTTTTTAAATTTATTCATTTTTATTTACGTATTCAGTGTGCGCATGTCAATTTGTGTGAATGCCAACCATGTAGTGGCCAGAGGAGATGATTCTCTTTCTAACATGCAGGTCCAAGGGACTAATATCAAGTTGTCAGGCTTACGGGAAGGTACCCTTCACCGGCTAAGCCATTTTGCTGGCCTCTAAGACTTGAGAGCTAAGGAAACCATTTCTTAGGACCATTCATGGGTTACCATGGAAAGAGTCTGCTCTGTTTTTCCCTTGTAGAAAAAATATGAAGGAGTAACCCTACGGAACCACTACTCATAGAGAGAGCCACTAGCTTCAGTCTGTAGAGAAAGCTGGTTCACCTAGCATCGAGACGATCTTCCGTAAGGGCATTTTTTGTTTATGAGTAGGATGACTAGCCATCCGGGTTTGTAACTGTCGTTCCGCATTAACTTATTAATAACTTGTCTAAGTGCACTCTGTAAACTACTGGGGTTTGGACAATAAATCTGAAGGTCACCCAACTTATAAATAACATTTATAACTGGCTGTGGAGGTCCTAGGAAGAGACAGAGGAACAAACATTTCCATTGGCTGAGCACACCCAGCTGTGCTGTGCCGGGCACCAGCAGAAGGCTTCAGGACTGCTCAGAGCAGAGTGCTTTTCTGGGAGCAGGCCCAGGTGTTCCAGGCGTTTCCTGCACACAGGGCCTGGACGAAAAAAGGGGGTGGCCGGTGGGGGTAGAGGACCACCTCTTCTAGCCATCTGTTGTGGCCAAGGAGCTTAGGAAGCCACTTAGTGCACCCGGCCACAGGGCTGGACGGAAAAGGCCAGTTATCCCAACTACTTGAGAAGCCGAAGGAGGAGGGTCAGAAGTTCAAGGCCAGCCTGGACAACTTAATCAGACCCTGTTTCCAGAATATATAAAAGTTAAATTAATGAATAAAAGTACAGTAGTTCAAGGTCCTAGGTTTAATCCCTGTGTCTGAGGAGGAGAGCCATCTGGGTCACCAGTTTCCCAGTCGATAACCCAGAGATAGCAGTGTTTACTTCCAGATTCGGGCTCATTACTTAACAATGGCTGCTATTATTCCATTATATAGGTGGAGCCAGGAAAAGGCAAACTGCTGATCAAGGCGCGTACTAATTTCTAGCCAGCTAGAACAGAGTCACCACACACAACCTGACTTGAAGAAAGAACTTGCCCAAGGCCACACAATTCCTGATCGGTTTTGGGGGAGGGGGGGAGACCAACCCCAGGAAGGGTCTGTCTCTGGTCCCCTTCGCTGTGGGGACTCGAGCGTGAACAGCACTCCTGTTGTTTCCACGGAAACCCACCCATAGGAAAGGGTCGAATACAACAAAGGGCGGGGAAGGGCTTGCATAAGTCACCGAATCTCAGAGATCCGAACTGGAATCCGGGGGAAAAAAATAGAGGGTAATAAATAAGTGGCCTCCTCCTCAAGAAAGCAAAAACAGATCACCTTTTACACTCGCTCCCTCAGCGGGGAGAAAGCACCAAACCCCGGGGCTGGCTGAGAGCTTACGTAAGGCCACTCGCGGCTGCGCCCCGGTGTCCCCAGGGTGTGCGCGGCGCCGGGGAACGGAGCGAGGGCGGGCCTTCCACATCACACGCGCTTCCCAGCCTCTCTGGACGTGGGGACCACCGGCCCCCAGGGCCGCGGTGTCGGGGCTGGGCGCGGCGTCCTCCCACGGCCCCCAGCTTCCCGGGGGAGGAGCAGCGCATCGCGCAAGCATCCGGGATCGGCGGAGGGGGCGGGAGGAAGGGCAAGAGGAGGAAGCGGGATTTAAACGAAAGGCGGTGACGCCACACAAAAGATTCCTATAGGCTCCGGGGAGGTTACGGCCGAGGTGGCGGCGGCGAGCCGGGGGCGAGGCGGACGCGAGGAGGCGAAAGCCGCAGACGCGCGCGGGCAGGCGGGTGTCCCCTGGCCTGCGGTCTCCGCCCTTCCTTTCAGTTGCTCGGAGGTCGCTCGGAAGTTGCTGGTTGACAAACATGGCAGGAGTCGGAGCCCGGGTCGGCCGCCACGGAGCCGCGCGCACCTTCTGAGCCGACTACACCGGGGCGTCGGATGCGCGGGGGAACGGGGATGGAGTCGCCACGACAGCCGCTCGCCGGGCGCGGGCCATTCAGGCGGGGACGGCGTGTCGCCGCGGCGCCGGGCCGCGCACTCTGAACCGCCAGGCGGGAAGGCGAGGCCGCCCAGCGCCCTGCGTTGCAGCCTCCCGCCCGACTGACTACGAGCGGCCGCCCCAGAGCCAGCCACGCCCTCGGCCCTGCGGCCGCCCAGCGCCCCAAGAGCCGGAGCGGGAGATGCGGCCGCGCGCCCCCGATCGTCTGCTCCGGCCGCCGTCTCCGGCCGGTGTCGCCTGGCGGGGTCACCGCGCCTGAAGCCCACGTGCGCCGCCGAGCTCGATCGCCGCCGCTTGGCGGCTGACAGCAGAGCCTGCCCGGGGCCGCCGCCCGCGCTCCTCCAGGAGCCGAGGATTTTGATTTCAAAGGAAGGAAGGAAGGAAGGACAACTCCCAGCCTTCCCTGTCCCGCCCTCTCCGCTCCGGCGGTCCGGCCGGCCATGCCCAGGAAGGCGGCGACAGCCCGGCAGCGGGGACTTTTCTGGTAGGCTCGTGGCGAGGGGCGCGGACTGAGAGTCTAACCGTGCCCCGGCTCACGGTTCCAGCGAGCGTGCACAGCGCCCCAAAAGAGCTTGCCGCCGGCTTGGGCCCGCCCCGCGACGCCCGGCCCCCGGCCGCCGCCGCCACCACCCCGATCTCTGTGCCCGCCGCGGTGGGTGGCATGATGGTGCGCGGAAGGCAGCGCGGCCCTGGCCAGCTGAGTCGCGGCGGCGGTGGTAGCGGACTCCCCAGCGGCATGCCAGTGCCCCCTGGGCGCGATGGCTAGTGGCAGTGCCGGGAAACCCACTGGCGAGGCGGCTTCTCCGGCTCCTGGGAGCGCCGTCGGCGGGGCCAGCTCACAGCCGCGGAAGAGGCTGGTGTCAATCTGTGATCACTGCAAGGGCAAGATGCAGCTGGTGGCCGACCTGCTGCTGCTGTCGAGCGAGGCGCGGCCGGTGCTCTCCGAAAGCCCCGCCTCCCCTGGCGCTGGCGCCGAGTCCTTCGAACAGTGCCGGGACACCATCATCGCGCGCACCAAGGGGCTGTCCATCCTCACCCACGACGTGCAGAGCCAGCTCAACATGGGCCGCTTTGGAGAGGCAGGGGACAGTCTCGTGGAACTGGGCGACCTAGTGGTGTCGCTGACTGAGTGTTCTGCGCATGCGGCCTACCTGGCGGCCGTGGCCACGCCGGGTGCTCAACCTGCCCAGCCTGGCCTTGTGGACCGCTACCGTGTGACACGCTGTCGCCACGAGGTGGAGCAGGGCTGCGCTGTGCTTCGAGCCACCCCTCTGGCCGACATGACCCCGCAGCTGCTCCTGGAGGTGTCGCAGGGCTTGTCTCGCAACCTCAAGTTCCTGACGGACGCGTGCGCCCTGGCCAGTGACAAGTCACGGGACCGCTTCTCGCGCGAGCAGTTCAAGCTGGGCGTCAAGTGCATGAGCACCAGTGCATCGGCGCTGCTGGCATGCGTGCGCGAGGTGAAGGCGGCACCCAGCGAGCTGGCCCGCAGCCGCTGCGCGCTCTTCAGCGGGCCCTTGGTGCAGGCCGTGAGCGCCCTCGTGGGCTTTGCCACCGAGCCTCAATTCCTGGGTCGTGCAGCCGCCGTGAGCGCCGAAGGCAAGGCGGTGCAGACCGCCATCCTGGGAGGTGCCATGAGCGTGGTGTCGGCCTGCGTGCTCTTGACCCAGTGCCTCAGGGATCTGGCGCAGCACCCCGATGGGGGCGCCAAGATGTCGGACCACAGGGAGAGGCTGAGGAACTCGGCCTGCGCCGTGTCTGAAGGCTGCACCCTGCTATCTCAGGCTTTAAGGGAAAGGTCTTCACCCAGGACTTTACCGCCAGTGAATTCCAATTCTGTGAATTAGCACCCCCCGCCCCATCCCCACATCTCCTCCCC